CCTCGCTGGATCCGGGGCTGTGCCAGGGTCTGTGGTCCCCCAGTCTATCCCAGTTCCTTCCGGCCGTACCGGCAGACGCTGAGCGCGTAATCTCTGGTGTCTTCCCCAGGAGGATGCCTGCCAGGACTTTGCCATTTCCTGCACAGCCTGACGGGATTTGCCCCTCTGTGGACATTAGCCCTGCTTTCTGAGGGTTAGCTGGTAAGAAAGCGCTTTCTTCTCCCCATCACCCACTCGAGCGACCCATCTCATCTCCACCGCATGACCAGCTCTGTCCATGGAGCCCATCGCCCTCATCTTGTGTAGGCATCCGTGTGCCCTGTCCATCCCACCAGCATCCCAGCGACGCGAGGGGCGGCGAGCCCGGGGCTGTGTGGCAGAGGGGCTGCCCGCAGCCTTGGCGAGAAGAGAGGGACGGTTCCCCCCAGCTTGGTGCTGGGGCTTGGTGGGAGATGGAGCCGGCCGATTTGCGTGGTTGTGCTTGGACATCGGGGTGGCTGAGGGTGCGTGGAGCCTGGGGCTTGCTGGAGGGCTCGCCGTGGTGAGTCGTGCTCGGCGGAGCTGCTGGGATGGGCTTGGAGGAAGCCTGCAGCTGCTGCAGGGATTTAGCGTTTGGAGGGAGCTGTGGCCCAGAGGAGTGGGAGCCTGGAACAGATTTCTAATCCCAGCTCCGAGCCGCTCTGTATTTTGGGCAATCCCTCCCCTCCCTCCTGCTCTGCCTGTTTTTCTCTCTCTAACACCAGGTTCCTCCTCTGACGTGCCCGTGACCACGGTAAGTTCCTTCCAAAGCGTGTTGCAACGAAGCCCGGCTTCAGCTGTGGGCTGCGGAGCGGCCCCTCTCCCTCCTGTGCGTCCCTGCCCTCTCCCTGCCTGCAGCCCCCACAGGCTCCTGCCTGCTCGAGCCTCGGCCGTGGAGGAAGGCTGCCAGCACTCTCCTCCATCCCCAATGGTCCCCCCCTTTCTGCCACCCAGTCTGGGTTCTCCGCTCTGCTCCCCGCTGCTCCTCGCTCACCTATTTCTGGCACTAACCCTCTCTTTCTCTTCCTCCCCTCTCCTCTCCCTCCCACCGGGTCGATCTGGTACGAAGAGTCCTGGTGGCCCGCAGCCCCCTGCCCCTCGTCGATCGCCCTGCGGGGAGGCGAGACCCCGCCGGCAGCGCCCGG